TGAAAGATATTTAAATTGGAATTGAAACATATCGAAACTGGAAAGGATATTTTTTCACCTAACCTGCTGGCTTTACTCCCAAACTCCACTCAGCTGGCCAACTCTTTCAGGAAGTTCAAGTCCAATGCGAAGGAGTACAAACGAAACTGTCATGATTTAAACCGGTCGCCGCAAGCGAAAAACCGCAGGTCTCTTTTCTCGAATCACACGAAGCAGACTACATGACTCTTTGAAAAATCGACTTCGACGTCAGCTTCTTCTTCGTCTATTGGGTCTTCTTCAGCATTTTGTTATCATTATCCACCATGAAAATCACTGCCGGCAGTACTAGGAGGGAAAATAGGAAAAAGTACTTCATTTTCCACTGAATAATTTTTACTAGCAAGATGACCCTAAAAATGCACAAACAAACCGAAAGAAGAAATAATTTTTGAGGAGCTGAATTTTTAACATCCATCACAGGTTACTTGTATTCGAGCTGGATTAGCTGGCCCTCGTCGTCTCACATTTTCGGCGCTGCCGTGTTACTGTGGTGTGGCGTTTACTTTTTTTTTGGTGCTAATAGGCCGGCTACACATTATTTTATAAGCGACAGAGAAAGAGAGCATACTGAGACGTCGTTGGGACAAGCTACAGAGGAGGAAGATCCCCTAGTTCCATAGTTTTCAATTACTGTATTCCTTTTATACATCGAGTTACACCGAACGTATCGCTCTAGAGCTCGTCGGAGTCACTCCAAAACACACAATTCGGATATTATCATTATTCTTTAATATTAACATTATCTAAGGGCCAAATTATGGACCGACTGATAAGTGTAAGGTTATAACCTAGCAGGTACTTTCCATGCTCTAGAGAATAGAAAGTACTTGCTAGGCTAGGTAACAACCTGACATTTATCAGTCGGTCCATAATTTGGCCCTAAAAGGACTTCTTGCGTCCCCGGCAAATTTGGTGCATCAGGGGAAAGGGGGATGCACTATGAGCGACCCGAATGCTTAACGCACTTTTAAAAGGAACGTTCAAGCTTTTGACATTGAGCAGCTCCGAGTAACTCAACGGGTAAGAGGAATACAGTGAATATTGAAATGCATTCATTTGGGGTAGTTTTGAAGTGGAAAAACCAAAATGTTTCCTAACATGTTTAGTAGCTGTTAGCACGTCTGACATTCTTATAGTCCATAACTGTATATCCAGACTCAGTGCTAGAAGAAGTTTCCATAACTGTCTGGTACAAGGTTATTGGTTATAAATGTCACCCCCCCTCTATCTTCTTTATTTGACGTTTTAGAAAAAAGTGTCTCAAATAAAAAATTTATGGTTGAAATAATTTTTTTCGAAAAACTCACTTTCGCATATGTGTGTTTCAAAAAAGCTCGTCGTGCTCTAACTTCCTTATTTTAAATTGAATACCCTGTATATTATTTAATATTCGGATTCTACATCAAATTTTGAGCAGATTTCATGTGATATACCCTATACCTAAGTTGAACTGTTTTGGAAATATTGAAAGTTGAAAATTGACTTTTTTGTAAATTTGACAGGCTGTAAAACCTAAACGGTTAACTTTTGAGCAAAACCATTTTTTTCTTAGATTTTCACAAGTTATCATTTGACACCAACTTTGAATTCAACGGAAGATTAAATTTAATTGGAATTTTCAATCATGGATTCCCAACAAACACAAGTACGTCTTTAGTACGTCCATAATTCGTACTTTTTCGGACGAAAGTACGTCCGCGGACGTACTTTTTAGGTCCCGCCGACGTCCGAAGGACGTCTTTAAGACGGTCGTTTTCCACAAAATAGTACCTACGTCCCACGTACGTAAATTCAGGGACGTACTCAGTACGTATTGGGGACGTACATTAACGTACGTATTTAGTATAGCTTTTTAGGAATGTGTTTGGGACGTACAGGGTTTTCCCATATATTTTTGCACCTTACCGGAACTGGTTGATTGAATAGGTATCAAAAAGATGTAAATACAAATGTTGTGTTTACACCTTTTTAATACCCATTCAACTAACCTGTCCAGATGGGAAGCAAAAATATATGGAGAAAACCCTAAACATAGAGGTACATATGTATTTATGTGTAGGTATCTTTATAGTGAAAAATATGTACCTATTTTGTATATTCAAGTTACAATTTTCATACTCAATAAATACCTTAACAATTACACTGAAAAACTGAAAAAAATTAACACAATATCAAATATAACATACTCTTAAACATAAACTTAACCTTAAACAACAGTACATAATATAACAAAAAAAATTAAGGAAAAGTGAAGAAAAATTCCAAACTTAAAAAAATATACAGAAATAGGTAGGTATCCTATAAAACAAACATAATAATATAGAAAATTGTAAAAGGGCATAAACCAGAAAAAGTTTCACACAGTAATAATCTTGGTAAAAGTACCTATTATTATACACACAAAATACATAGTAAAGTGTATAGCCAAGTCGCGAAGCCACCAAGCTATGAAGCTAAACACTTGAAACACATGCCGGCGTTGCTGCAATCAATACAAAATGGTTCTCGCGTCACTTGATTTGGCAAAATTAACAAAAATAGAAGAAAACAAAACCTAACACCAACACCACTCTACAAACAGATTACAAACGAGCTACAAACACAAGAGAAAAAGGCAAAAGCAGGCAGGAACAACTCAAGCGAGGCATCACATTATAATGATAAACAGATGAACCGGATAAAGCTGTGGTCGAAGATGCCAGTGTTGCCAGATGTCAAATTCAAAATTATCAGAAAAAGTTTGTGACAATTTTTTTGACTTTCATCTCTAATCTCTATTCATATTTTTCTAACAAAAAAATTAACCAAAAACTAACGGTGCTGTGAGATCAACTCATTTCTAGCTGGGAAGTATTTGGTGCGATCACCAGTACGTCAAAACCTGAGGTCAAAACCATCAACCAAATAAAGGACATCGCACACATCTTATGGGTTTTCGGGGACCGGTCGATTTTTTTAAAAAATTTGGTATGTTGTAGTACTAGTGAAAATAAGTATTTTTCATCATTGCGCAAAATCTCTAACTATACAGGGTGACCCAGTAAAGTGGGTCCGAAAATCATTGCCAAGCCGTTCATTTATTGATGTTGGCACGCATTGCAAGCTACATATCGGGATTTTTTTTTCTATTTCGCAACTAAATAGTCTAGATAAGCCTAATATATTATACAGGGTGGCTAACCTTACGTATTCTTTTAGAAATACTGCACTATTCTTAGTAATAGTGTTACGAAAAAGGTCGTGCTGGAATTAATTTGCCCGTAACTTTTCCAATTTTTGTCTGATTTTAGAAAATCTGGTCTCAAAATAAAGCTTACATCACAGAGAGGGATGTCATGAAATCTGAAAAAATTAAAAATCTCAGAATTCGTGTGAAATATCGCCTTTTTTGGCCAGACATCTTCAATAATTTACATCGGAGGAAGCAAATAATACTCGTAAGATTACAAAGACATGTTGGATGGACATTTGAAATCTGTGTTTAACACAGAATGTTGTGACTAGTGCAAAATATTGAAAATGCCCTACATGAAAGGATTCAAAGAGAAAACCTCCAACTTAGGGGTGGTGGGGTGGGCCTTAAGTCGATTTACATGAAAATTATATTAATTTTTCTATTCTCACTGTTGAGTATTCATGAACTAAAACTTTCCGAATATTTAATGCCTAAATATTTTCAGGGTTCACACAAGATAAGTAAGCAGAGATTTTCTGTTTGTATCATTTTTGTTCTCCCCTGGGCTGGATGGAGGGAATCCAGTATTGGGCACATACTGCACATGCAAAGTTATCGCGTTGTTAGGTACTTTAGCTACGCTCGACATGAGAACAATGTGAAGTATCCATCAAATACGTTACTTATATTAGGGCCGGTTTATCAATAGCGAGTCATTTCCGGGTTGATTATAACTCCAGGGTAAACGTTTCTCCACAGCGAGTTAGCTATAACTTTTGGTGTAACCTTGGGTTAAATTGGCTCACTGTTGATGATATTGCGGGTTTAGCGATTTATGGATTTACCCTTTGAGATAACCTGATGATTCCTGATCGTGATTTGTCAATTTTGTGGTAATATTTTTTTTTTCAAAATAGAAATATATGGATTGATTGATGAAGATATGAAGATTTCTACAATTTCGTAGGAAAAACGCCTCATATAATCCGCCAAAGGATTAATCCTCTCGAGAAATACGATGACTAGGATTTCTCTACAAAGGATTAAAAGTTCATGTCTGACCTCGTGCACCCTATATTTCGCTTATATTATAGCTTGATTATTATTATTTTTTCTAATTCAAGGAAGTTTTTTCCTCTTGCGATATCTTTCTTCTCCATGACTATTGACTACACACACTGCATTAACCACGCTCTTCAAAAATTAACAAATTGTAATGAAAAAACGGTGCGCCAAAAAGAATACTCGAACTTATCATTAACTTAACAACAAACTCTAAAAAGTTTTGTGAATGGGCTAATTTGACGATCGACCCATGCGTGACTGCTTTCGACCAATCAAAAATATGTTAGGATCACCATTCTGGTAAACAATAATGCTACCAGCTATTGCTTAACCCAGTGTTTATTAACTCCACCTACAGTGGATGCTTGAGAAACACAATCCTCAGTTAACCTGCAAGGTTGAAATTAACACCGGGTTAGTTAACCCCTAGAGTTACTCGCAATTGAGGAACCGCCCCTTAATTTAGGTGTATTTGGTGTATCCAAGACCCTAATCGAATGAAAAGTTATACTTTTATCACGTTCAATCATCTCGAATTTTATCACATTTTTAATTTTTTTAGATTTCATGACATCCCTGTGATATAGGCTTTATTTTGATACCACATTTTTTTAAATCGGACAAAAATTAAAAAAGTTACAGCTAAATAAAATCCAGCGCAACCTTTTTGGTAACACTAGTTCTAAAAATAGGGCAGGATTTCTAAAAAAATACGCAAGCTCAGCTACCCTGTATAGTATATTAGGCTTATCTGACTATTTATTTGCGAAATCGAAAACAAAAATCTCAATATTTAGCTTGCAGGGTGCGCTAATACCGATAATAGAAAGGCTTGGTTTATGATTTTCGAACCTACTTTACTGGGTCACCCTGTATAGTTAGAGATTTTGCGCAATGATGAAAAATACTTATTTTCACTAGTACTACAACATACCAAATTTTTTAAAAAATCGACCGGTCCCCGAAAACCCATAAGATGTGTGCGATGTCCTTTTTAATTTTCAACTAAAAATTTTAAAGATTTGCATTGAAATTGTAGTTTCATTCAATTATGGTAGATTTAGCTTGTGATTATCGATTATTGAATTGTAGTCAAAATGATGGTAGATTTCGATAATTATCGGGTCCTTGGCAACACTACACCCTGCTGATCTCAAGCGGCCGACGTCCCTTGCTTTCCAATGCTTTATTTCATGTTTATCTTATTTTGAAATTTGACCATTTATTTAGGTCAGGTACCTTAATGAAATATAAATGATTATATTGATTGATTATATAATATGACCTGCCTTATTAAGTTAAGATCTAAGGTTTAAGGAAATCCATGTCAATCTGACCGGCATTTTTGGGTTTAGGTTTAGAGGTTAATTTGGAAGGCTACCACTCCCGTATCTTTTGCTCGGAAATTGCATATTATTTAAATAATATATCATGATCAGAAATTAATTTAAAAAAATCATGAATAGATGGTAATGATCCAGCTCGTCTTATATTGTTCGTCTTTGAAACGAACATGTGCGTCTTTTATAAGACGTACGCAAAATAGATTTTCACGTACGTTCTTGGTACGTACTTTTTTGTCTGTATATTAATACAGCCTTTTACGTACATACTCAAAACGTAGTTTTACATCCCCGACGAACCGACGTAAAACGGACCTAAAATGTACGTCTTCAGTATGTACTGTGTTTGTTGGTAAATTCAAAGTTGATGTAAAATATTGGTTTTAACTGATAGTTTATAAAAATCTGAGATAAATATGTATGATCGGTTTTGCTTAACCGTTCAGGATTTACAGCCTGTTAAAGTTGCAAAAAAGTTAATTTTCCACTGTCAATATTGCCAAAACAGTTGAACTTAGGTATGGGGTATATATGACATGAAATCTGCTCAGAATTTTACGTAGAATCCGAATATCCAATAATATAGGTACATTGTATTCCATTTGAAATAAGAAATTTGTAGCTCGACCAGCCGAAAGTGAGTTTTTCAAAAAAATTTATTTCAACCATAAAACTTTTATTTGGGACACTTTTTTCTAAAATGTCAAATAAAAAAGATAGAGGGGGTGACATTTATAACCAATAACCCTATACCTAATTGAATGTTTATAATAGATAAAATGTACGAGCTATGGTTTTAGGACGGCAACATTCTATGCTATTTTTACATCGGTCACGAGGCAAAAGTGAACAGAACAAGAAGAACTCTATCGAGTGGTGAGGGGTGTAAGGAACTCTTTAGCCTTAGTTTCCGAGATCGAAACAACTATGTAATTAATTTAAAAAATCCGCGTTTCAATTGTTTCGAATTTTATTTTATTTCAACTTATCGTGAATTTGGAGATTAACAATTAATTGGCTGTGGATTATGTTGAGTCACGATTATTAAAAATTAATATTATAAAAATAGCAATCGGCTATCAGAATATTGTGTTGAATAATTTTATTGTCTGTATTAAAATTGAATATGACTTTTATTTTTATTTGTCCAGAGGCGGGGGTGTTATATTTTGTTACAGGAAATTTTATCTTCATCAGTTTTGATAGGTTAGATTCTCTTACTGCTATATGTCACTTCTTCTTCGTCTGATTATTTGCTGTTTTGGAAGTCTTTAATAATTGGCTTCTTAATCTCATATTCTTCTAGTTATTTAATTGTATCTCTATGTCAATAATTTGTTTTGGACTGCATATGTTATCATAGAAGCAATTTTGTTATCATCTTAATATTGTATATGCTTATGATTTTTTTGATGCGCAATCTTGGCTTTAGGCATTGCACGTATGTATGTTATCATCTTTCTATCATACATTACCTGTCATTGTCATCTTCAGCATGTTAATCCTATCGACATTGGTATCAAGTAGGAAGAGCGATATCGACACATTCCTTTTTTTTGTTAAGAGTGTGCATCTCTGTAGTTTAGGCTTTTGAGATGTTCCACCTGGTAACAAACTGAAGAATATTCAGTGTCAAAAGTGTTTCAGTCAAAGGAATATCTGAATTATCTAAAGTTGAATTGATTGCTCCCATAGCTTAACTATTACTACTACTACTACTACTACTAATACTACTACTACTACTACTACTACTACTACTACTACTACTACTACTACTACTACTACTACTACTACTACTACTACTACTACAACTACTATTACTGCTACTACTGCTGCTACTACTACAACTACTACAACTACTACTACTGCTACTACTGCTACTATTACACTACCCCTACTACTTTTCCGATTGTCAGAGGCAAATTTGATAAGAACTTCAATCAGGGCTTCCTTATTAGGTAGGTATGCCAATCTATCAGAGACAACATGGACTTTTTACTTTGAGAAGAGATTGGGGTGGGATCGGAAAATGAGCCACAATCCTCGTGCTAGAAGGATTTTGAATGGAACCTAATTTATTGAAGAAATAAATATATTCAATCATTCGAAAAAAAAGAGCAGCGTAATTATAACCACACTTTCAGGATAAGGTACTCACCAGGTATAAAAGTCGAAACTACAAAGATTTGTTTAACTTTTTCGATTACAGTGGATCACAACTACCTTTTTATGATTGCCTGAAGAACAGTGGTGTGAAATAAAAATTATTATTGTAAAGATTCGTCGATTTATTTATTGTACTGTCTATGCTTGTACTGCATAATATGGAATGCATGTATCAGGCTGCGGACGAAGGAATTTCCCCTTCTCCATCACAAATATTATAATTTTGCGGATTTAGATTGAGTGTGAAATGGACGTCGGTCGTTCACGTTACGTTTTTTCTTGTTTTTAGTGCTTGCTAAATATGGTTTTTAATTAACAAGTTTGGTTGCATTTATGAAAAGTGATTTAGAGGTAGGTAACTAATAGATTTTTTTATTTGGATTTATTAAGCATCTTCTTATGCATAAATGTATAAAATAATGTTTTTTGTTTTTTTTTGATAAATTTTTTGTTCGTAGGTACCTATAATATTTAAGCATTATGCAATGACATTGAATTTACAATATTGTAACACCTGGAAATAGAATGTAATTATGATAACAAAAAAAAAATCATCATGGGTAATTTTTCATTATAATTGCATAATTATTTATGTTTGAATGAATACAGGTTTTCAAAGAATCATCTCAATAGCTTAACCCCTCACAAATTTTTTTAAAGATTGATTTTCATCAGTATGAAAAATATTTCATGTACGAAAACTCTCCGTTATATCACGATATAAGCCACTTACTTAAATCTCAAGTTTTAGTTGAAAAATCTATATAAAACATGTGCGACCTTAAATATTGGCTATAAAAAAGATTTCGCACATCCGCAATCAAAGCCAAAATGATCAAAAAGAGGGCCAGCGTTGTCGATACAAATGAAAACCATGTCCAGGAAAAAGATACCATCATAACAGACAAAGGTAGGCAATAGACATATTTAGACAATTATTTCGAGTAATTTTTATTATATTTTTTAGGTCCAACGATTGGATGTAGACATGTCCAGGCAATTTTACTATTTTTCGCTTTCTTTTTTGGACTGGGTTCTCGCACAAACCTATCCGTAGCTATTGTAGCTATGACTGATAATACTACAAGTCCTAATCCAGATGTCCCAGTAAGTAAAAAAGAATGTGCCTTGAAAATTTAGTTTCCAATAAATTATATCTCAAATAGACTTACAATTGGACCAATACCAGCGTAATGCTATCCGCTTTCTTCTGGAGCTACATCTCCCTTCAAATTTTATCAGGTTATTTAGGAAAACGCTACGGACCTAAATACTTTCTCCTAGTAACATCCATTATCAATTGCCTTGCAGTAGGATTAATCCCTGTTGCAGCTAAAATAAGCTCCTATGGCGTAATTGTATGTAGAGTTGTTCAGGGATTGGCCCAAGGATTCTTAGACCCTTCCATTCACGTGATGTTAGGAACTTGGATACCCAACGAGGAAAAATCTACGCTTTGTAATTTCATTTTTGCAGGTAAGAATCTTGCAATCTTTGAAGTTTTTAGATTATTCAGGAAATTATTCCAGGTATATTCTCTGGTACAATATTTACCTCAGTTTTAACTGGATATTTGTCCACTAGTTGGCTGGGCTGGCCATGGTCTTTCTACATTTTGGCAATGTTGAATTTTGTGTGGTGCATTTTCTGGGGAATCTTCGGCCAAAATAGTCCTGCCACACATCCTAGAATCACTAAAGAGGAAAAAAAGTATATTCAAAGGTCTTTACAGCAAGAAGTGGAAGATGTACGTTTATACCTTTATTGAAATTAATGAAATTATTATAAGTACCTATTGTAGAAATTGCCAACCCCCTGGTTGCAAATATTCACTAGTGTCCCATTTTATGCTACGATGGCGGGTTACATAGGGGTTATTCTCGGACATACATTACTGACCACTGAAATACCAACCTATTTAGCTAAAGTTATGAATTTCAAGCTGAAAGAGGTAAAACAAATATTATAATAATAAATAACATGGTTCAATCAGTTTTTTGTTCCAGAATGCATTACTAAATACACTTCCGACATTAGCAGGTGCTCTCGTTGGGCTCGCAACAGGTCCCTTATCAGATTGGATTATCGTTAAGGGTTACCTAACAAGATTGAATGCCCGTAGAATGTTTCATGTACTTGGTAAGGATTTCTTTAGATTTAAAATCGATACCAAAGTGTCTATTATATATATTGTTATTTTAGGTTCTTTTGGTGGTGCTCTCTTTTACGTATGGCTTAGCTTTCTGAATTCATCCCAGCCTTACACCAGCGTGGTACTTATAACGCTTGGATCGGGAATATTTTCCCTTGTGCTTGCGGGAAGCAACGTCAACCATTTGGATCTTTCTCCGAAATTTGCGGGAATAACTTTTGGAATTTTAAGTTCCGCCGGAGGAATAGCGTCCACTTTTCCACCATTACTTGTTCAGTGGATTGTATTGGATCAAGTAATGTTTTATAGCTTTAGGCACGTGTCGTAAATTAATAGATTGTGTTTTTTTAGACTAGCACTGATCAATGGCGCATAGTGTTCCTAGCATCAGCAGGATTTTATGTAGCTGGGGCGCTGATATTTTACTTTTTCGCTTCTGCATCAAGGCAACCGTGGGATGGACCTGAGGAAAAAGACGCAGAAGAAAGGAACTAGACACAGAAGAAAGGATATATAGGTACTCAGAGACTGGAAGCTTGGTAGTTTTCAGGATTAAATTATGTGTCTGTGATATACTGTAACTTTTTGCAGTGAAAATAGTGTATTTTGAATAGAGAAATTGTTTTTTTTTTTATATAAGTGTCTTTTTTGTAAAACTAAAGACTTTTTGCTTGTAATAGAATATCATTCCTCTATGCGATATCCTGAAACACTGCAAAGGCTGGTTTAAAAAAAATCCTGCAGGAGTTCGGAAAAGTTCTTCCTTTGCATCGGAAGGCGCGCAAAAGTGTGACATTTTCCGCACGCCACAAACAAATTTGTATTCAGATCGGTACTATCACCTTTCCTTTATTGTTGAATGGAATCTTTCAATTGGTCAATTCGAATTAGGATTTTGAGGTGTAACAAAATGTAACTCAATCTTGTAAATTTCACAAAGATCTTGAATTAAATTACTTTTAAATGCTGGACCATTATCTGTAGTAATTTTACTAGGTGTTCCATCGTGTGAGAAGGATTTAATCAAGTTTTCGCAAATCTCAGTTGCGTTTTCGTTAATAGGTTACGCAGTTGCAAATTTTGAGAAATTATCTATTATTGTTAAATATTTTTGACCAGATACTGAGTAGGTGTCTATATCTATATAAATGTGCTCAAAAGGTTTTGAACCTGTTGGAGTAGGCTTATATAATATACCCTTGTAAGGATATCGATCATATTTCGTTTTCTGACATGTTTCATAAGCATTAATGAAATTAATTACATCGCGTTCAAAGCTTTGCCAATAATATGACTGTTTAATATTTTTGATGTTTTCTGTGATACCTCGATGTGAAGTTTTTGTTGTGTGATACCTATCAATTATCTCCTTTTGTTCTTCTTGATCAGTTACATCTTCAAGAAGGGTGTTGGAAATCACAAGTTTAAATGTGGTATTCCTGAAAGTTTCTTGGAATATCCTCAAAGCAAGAGGTTCTTACTCTTTACAAGAAAAATGTACACAATAAGTGTCTCGGGCTAAATAGTCTCTGAATAGTTCTTGGATTTCTCTTGTAATTGGATTTTCATCGATGAAGATTAAATGCTGAGCTAGCCTATGACTAATTGTTATTATAACTATCCTGAATCATTGGAGATGGCCATATAAATCAATCTCAACATAGAAATTTCTTGCTTCATCTTGCGTAATATTTTGTAATCGAAATCTTGATAAAATCAAGTTTCAACTAATTATTTCAGAGCTTATTTGATAGCTGAAAACTATATTACCAAAGCTTCCAGCTTTTTATTTTTTTCCAGAATAATTACATAATGGATAATGATGTTTAATGCAAAAATTGCTCTTCAACATGTTTTCAAACAATATATAACGTTGAAAGCCACTTAAATCTGAAGTAGTTGCATAGAAAAACAGGAACAAACTAGATAAAGTTTCTACGACTGTAGATATTGATGAATTAACTATAAAAAAGATTTCCCAAATCTGACTGGCATTGATATATCCATATTGAAAACAAAATGATCAATGAGAAAGTCGATTTAAATGATGACGAAGTAGAGAAAAAAGGTACCTAATACATATTTCATACAATAACTATTTCATGTTAATTTTATTATAATTTTTAGGCCCAAAATTTGGTTGTAGGCACGTCCAATCAATTTTACTATGTTTCGCTTATGTTTTTGGAATGGGTACCCGTACAAACCTATCCGTAGCTATTGTAGCTATGACTGATAATTCCACAAGTCCTAATCCAAAAGTTCCAGTAAACACCAAATGCCTGTCATTAATATATAATTTTTAATTAATTATATTTCAAATAGACTTACCATTGGACCAATACCAGTGTGATGCTATCCGCTTTCTTCTGGAGCTACATCTCCCTTCAAGTTCTGGCAGGTTATCTAGGAAAACGCTACGGACCTAAATATTTTCTTCTAGTAACGTCCATTATCAATTGCCTTGCTGTTGGGTTAACCCCTGTTGCAGCTAGAATGAACTCTACAGGCGTTATTTTATGTAGAGTGATTCAAGGATTGGCCCAAGGATTCTTAGACCCTTCTATTCATGTGATGTTAGGAACTTGGATACCTAACGAGGAAAAATCTACGCTGTGTAATTTTATTTTTTCAGGCAAGAATCTTTGAGGTTTTCACATAATTTTTAAAAAGATTATTCTAGGTATATCAATTGGTACAATATTTGCATCAATTTTGACCGGATATTTATCAGCCAGTTGGTTAGGCTGGCCTTATTCCTTTTACATTTTGGCCATATTGAATTTTGTATGGTGCATTTTCTGGGGAATCTTTGGCCAAAATAGTCCTGCCTCGCATCCTAGAATTACCAAAGAGGAAAAAAAATATATTCAAAAGTCTTTAAAGCAAGAAGTGGATGAAGTAAGTATATTGGTTTAAAATTTAAAAGTTCCTAGTGTGATTATTATAGCAATTGCCAACTCCTTGGAAAAAAATATTTACTAGTGTTCCATTTTATGCTACAATGGCTGGATATATAGGGAATATTCTTGGATATGCGTTACTGTTTACTGAAGCACCAACTTATTTAGCTAAAGTTATGAATTTCAACCTCAAAGAAGTAAAGGCATATTATTGTTGAAAATAAATATTTAACAAAAATTTTTCAGATTGCTATTTTAAACACAATTCCAATATTAGTCTGTCTTGTGGTGGGACTCCTTATAGGTCCCCTATCAGATTGGCTCATAGCCAAGGGTTACCTATCAAGATTGAATGCCCGAAGAACGTTTCATGTAATTGGTAAGGCTTTTTTCAAATTCAGTCGAAGTACTTATTTGACATTTAAGGATGTTATGGTGGTGCTCTCTTCTTTGTATGGCTCGGATTTTTAAATTCATCCCAGCCCTACACCAGTATCGTAGTTATATCGCTTGGATCGGGAATATTTTTCTTCGTACTTGTGGGAAGCAACGTCAACCATTTAGATCTTTCTCCAAGATTTGCAGGAATAACTTTTGGCATTTTGAGTACCGCTGGAGGAATAGCTGCTACTATTCCACCATTGTTAGTTCAGTGGATTGTAACGGACCAAGTAATTTTCAATGCTCTTAACGTGTGTCATATCTTAGTGGATTATGTTTTTTAGACTAAAACTGACCAATGGCGCATTGTGTTTCTATTATCAGCGGGATTTTATGTAGTTGGGGCTACGCTGTTTTTCTTTTTTGCATCTGCAACAAGGCAACCTTGGGACGGACCTGAGGAGAAAGATACACCAGAAACTGAAAGTTAAGTTTTTAAGACTCAAATTAATAATCTGTGATTTATATATAATAAAGAAATTATTTATTTTATGTAAAAGTGTTCTTTAATTCCTGCTTCAATAACAACCTCTTGCCGAGGAGTAAAGCAAGCAATACTTCTTGTAGAATCGTACTTCTGATGTCGAAACCTCTATATTTATGTGCCAATCTTTTCGACGTTGCAAAAACAATCATTTCGTAAAATCACTGAGAAGTTACATAAAAAAAATCGCATTATTGTTATTCTAATAGATAACAATGATTGCAAACAAAAAAAAACAAACAAATTAATAGGTTATTAGCTACTTATAAGTAATAATCACTCAAGATATAAAGTCACGCATATTTTTTGAGATAGTAATATGTAGATAAATTTACCTACAAATTTAATTTCCATTTTTTGATAGACCAAATCACAGGAAACATCTAGAAACTTCAGTATGGCAAAAGTTGAAAGAGCTAGAAAAAGGGTTAGTATTATTGAAGTTAACAGAAAAGAAATAGAAGCAAACGCAACAAGAATAACCGAGGAGGAAAAGTGTAAAAATCAAAAAATTATAGACACAGGTATGAGAAAAATGTCCTTATAATTATTCAAAATTCAATATTACTTACTTTGTAGGTCCTAGATTTGGCTGTAGACACGTACAGGCAATTCTACTATGTCTAGGCTTAATTTTTGGAATCGGAACTAGAACAAACTTGTCTGTAGCTATTGTAGCTATGACTGACAACACTACGAGTCCTAATCCTGATGTGCCTGTAAGAAACACGAATTTTTATAATAATCTGTAATGAAAATGACTGTCAGAGACTCAACCCTCTAAAACCATGTTGACACGGTCTAAGTGTACTTGGATCAAGTATCCTCACTTGGACAATACTTGGATCGTATCAACTGTTCATCCAAGTCAGGTTGGATAGGACATAACATCCAAGTAAGTAGGATGGTTGCCACCGTACTTGGTCCAAGTTCTCATCCAATTGCACTTGGAACATGTCAGCTTGGCTTAAGCCAGGTTGAGACGGTGCAACTGTACTTAAATCAAGTACCCTTGGACGCTACGATCTCCTCATTTAAACGATACTTGGATCGTATCAACTATTTATCCAAGTTTAGTTGGATAGGTCCTAACATCCCAGTAAGTAAACTGGTGCCAATTTACTTGGTCCAAGTCCCCATCCAAGTTTCCTTGGATCAAGTACCCTCGGACACTGCGCGCGCCTCACTTAGACAATACCTGGATCGTATCAACATCAACTGTTTATCCAAGTCCAGTTGGATAGGTCCTAACATCCATGTAAGTAGGCAGGCTGCCAACTTACCTACTTACTTGATTCAAGTTCTCATCCAAGCGCACTTAGATCAAGAACTTGAACCGTGTCAACCTGGCTTTATATAGACAAAGCGAGATATGGAGACGATTGGGAGAAGTAATTCAGGAAATGTTTTTCATCAATAATAAGTATTTTGTGTACCATAGTGATAGAGCAGCGAACATTACTTTGTTAAGCTTCTGTCTGAACTTTTTGGCAATACATTCGATTGTGAATCCCTCATTCAAATTTGGTCACGAAAACCACTGACAATCCAGATCTAATATAAGATTAAGACATTTAATTTTTCTCCAGGCCTATTCGTGGACCAACACCAGCGTGATTCTTTCCTCATTTTTCTGGAGCTACATCACTTCACAAGTCTTGGCAGGTTATCTAGGAAAAACCTACGGCCCAAAATATTTCCTTTTGACAGCATTTTTTATTAATTGCGTTGCTGTGGCTCTAACCCCTCTAGCTGCTGCTAAAATGGGTTCAGGAGGAGTGATTTTATGTAGAATAATACAAGGATTTTTCCAAGGATTTCTATATCCTTCCGTACATGTGATGTTAGGAACCTGGGTGCCTGATGAAGAACGTGCCACGCTAAGCAATTTTGTTTTCTCTGGTAATTATTCTTCATATAAAAAGCTTATCACAGATCATCATTTTTATTTAGGAGTGGCAGTTGGTTCGATGATGTCCTCGATTCTCACAGGTTTCATATCAGCAAGTTCCTGGGGCTGGCCATATTCCTTTTACATTCTTGCACTAATGGGCTTTTTGTGGTGCATTCTATGGATCATTTTTGGTCAAAACAGCCCCGCTACACATCCCAGAATCACTGACGAAGAAAAAAAATATATCCAAAGCTCTTTGAAACAAGAAGAAGAAATTGTAAGTTGGAAAAATACCAGAAATATTTGGAAAATAAGTGAATTTTTCAGCATTTGCCAATCCCATGGAAAAAAATATTCATTTGCCTACCATTTTATGCTATATTTGTAGCTTATGTTGGTAATGCTTGGGGTTATGCGATATTGACTACGGAGACACCGACTTATTTGGCAAAAGTTATGAATTTTAATGTTAAATCGGTAAAGATTATTTCACCAAAAAAATATTATCAGTAACTATTATTGTTTTCAAGAATGCTCTTCTGAGTGCTATTCCAATGTTAGTATTTTTAGCAGCTGGTTTTATAACAGGGCCTCTATCTGACTGGATCATATCCAGAAACTACATATCCCGTTTGAATGTTAGACGATATTTCCAAATTATAGGTGAAGCCACAAGAAAATTTTCCAATCACTACAATAAATTCACTTAATTTTTAGGTTGTTATGGTCAAGCTGTATGCTTAGGATGGCTATCTTTCCTGACTGAATCCGAAGCCTACACTAGCATTGTCTGTTTATCACTGGGATTCGCTTTTGCAGCATTTGTTCTCGTAGGAAGCAGCATAAATCACTTGGATCTTTCTCCTAGATTTTCTGGTATTCTTTTTGGTATTCTAAACGCTACAGGCCAGGCAGCTTCGATCATGGCACCTTTAATGGCCCAATGGGTGATAATTGATCAAGTGTGTATTTCCAACAAAAAAAAACAATGTGTGTCAGAGTCATATGAATTTTTATTTTAGACTAGCATCATGCAATGGCGTATAGTGTTTTTAACATCAGCGGGATTTTTCGTTGGCGGTGCGACAGTGTTTTTCTTTTTTGCCACGGCAGATAGACAATCTTGGGACGGGCCTGAAGATAAAAACATGGAAGAGAGAAGGAAGAAGATTTCTGTTATAAGTTTAAGTGCAGTGTAATTGAAAATAAAGTCTGTGATATAAAACGATAATGGCCAATGTTTTACGAGTCGCTTAGAGTAAGATTGGGCCCGTGCATTATTTGGTACTTTATATACACGCCTGGCAAGTATAAGTAAACATCTTACATGCCAATTTTAATGCGATAGAATGAAATGTTTAGAAGAAGCCTAAGATTAAATAGAGAGCGAAAACGATTTCACCAGTTCCACCTCCAGCAAAAAACGCTGGGAATGCTAGAGGTGGAACAGGGGAAATCGTTTTCGTTCTCTATTCAACCCTAGACTATTTCTAAACATTTCATTATATTTCATTAAAATTGGTGATGGAAATGTGAAGGCCGGGGATCCAAATAAACATACACGAATCTGTTTTTAAGGATTATTAATTGAAATACATACATCAGAAGTGTTGTGGAAATAACCCACAACAGGTTTAATTTTTACTATTTCTAATTTAATATATCTCAATTTCTATTATTTACCATAACTAGGTCATGAGCGCGCTTCGCGCGCTTTTTTTTTTTAAATCAAGTCCATCAAAATAATTATAAAATGGAAAATATTTATTAGGTGTTGTACAAAAAACAGCATAATTTTTGATTTAAATGTACATTATGCATTAAATGTGAGAGTGAGATAAGTTGTATAGATATTATTTTAGTGAAGAAATTTCAAATGCGATGGATGGAGTTGGTGACTAATTATTTTTGTATGGTATATCATAATGATTTTAAATCGATCACATTTCTTGAATGTATGGAGTGCGTATGTCTACTTATCTCATTCTGTTTTATGGAACTCGTAGGTATACATTTTTCGAAGTGGTTTAATTCAAACAGAATAATCATAACCATAATCAAGGTGTTATTATAAACCGAGTTATTTACTATTTATGTGCTGTGGTATAATACGAGATATCGAGTCTTAAATTTTTTTTTACATTTTCATGAAGTTCCTTTTTTTTATTAGGCCAGTTATTGAAGTCTACTCGATCAACATTTTACTGCAAACAATCGAAAATTTTTTTTTTTTTTAAAGATTTTAAATTCAATTGCTCAGTTATTCAACTTACATTTTTTGTTTGTAGCTACGTGGTAGACATAAATTTTAAATGTGATCAAAGTAGTTGGTGAATTATTACTTTTGCGGTACATCGTAATGACTTTAAATCGATCTTATTTTTTGAATATACGGTGTGCATATGTCCAGTGCATCTTATTCTATTTTATGGAACTCGTAAGAATCCAAAATTAAAAGAGTGCTAAGTCTTCATGTCGTTCTTCGTTATTTTCAATCATTTATGTTTATCGTGTTCAGGTTTTTGTCTTGTGATCTTCAAATATCTTGTAAATAAGTTGTAAAGATCTTCTGAAATCACCTATGACTGCAAAATTTCAAAATTAAATTATCAAAAAAACAATTCTTTAAAAACATGGTTTTTGACAACACTATTGCTTCTTTGTTTCCCTGAATAAACTTTCAATGAGTCCCACGAACGAACTCTGAAAAGCGCCACATAAAGTTGTCCGTGACTAAATACATCCTTTCTGGAGATCAATTACTATCCTATCAAATGTTTGTCCTTGAGGTTTGTTAATCGTCATTCATTGCAAAGGCTAATTTTATTTTAAAATTGTCTTCGTTTGAACGTAAAGGGGTAGACGTTTTCGCAGTAGAGTGTTATTCGATTTATGAACACTATTTCTCCCTGTTTATCTACAATCAATATCTCACAGCGTAACAGATTATCCCCAAGTTCCAGAACTAAAGGCCTTGTATCATTGCAAAGACCTGCACTGATGCTTAGATTTCTAATGAGCATACAATAGAATTCGTTTTCAATCGTAATTCATGGAGCGGGAATTCGGCGGATTAAGCGAATTTAAATATTTTGGTTTATATTAGATCACTATTATCACAGTTCTCGACACTATCTATACTGGTGTAGAGTTTTTCGGTCTTGACGTCCAACAGTTCGACAACTTATTCGTTTATTTCTTCGACATCAACATTTCTTGCAGAAAGTATTGCAGATTTGGTCAAGTCCCTGAATCTGCCTTCTTTTAGTATTGTTCGTCGACTTTTCTTATGAGGAGCGAGTGGGTGAAGTATATGGCAAAAACCAGGGGTGACGTTAGGTGACCATTGGCGTTCAAATGTAGCGTGCCACCAGCTCACATTCCTTTCGAGTATTAGATTAAAATCGACGGACTTTACTTCTCCATAGATGTTTTCAACAATATCCGAATTATCAATACATTTCTCCGACAATTTTAGATTGTCGTTAGAATCATTTAGTGTTCGTTATCGCATAAAAATGGCTCAATTTCAGCAATAAGTGCTTAATGTTGGCCTTTAAGGCGGCAACCGTTTTAGGTTTGTCAACATAGACTTTGGATTTTAGAATGCCCAGAGAAAAAAATCATGTGACGTTAGGTCGGCCAATTGTGGATTCTGAAGGACGATCGTTGACATCATAAATTGCACGGAGTGCACGAAACGTTTTCTGAATAGAACATTGGTTTTGATAATGATAATAATTTTTAACAATTCCGACGCGTTGCTCAATCGTGTAGCGCTCCATAATAAAATGCAGAGACTAATTGAATATGGCTGCCAAAGATAGCACCTGTGTGACTATCGAGTTTTTCATTGGCTATTGTCAAACATCGAGCGTTACTATTGGAAAACCCTATACATACCTAGATTCTTCTATTGAACCTCGAAAAAATATTAAACCACTTCCTTGCTTTGAAAAACAACCATCTACAGAGCAATATCTAATAGCACAGCTAATAGGCATATTGCCAGAGAATTGTCACATAAATAAAAAATTCACAGTCCTTCACAAAGATGCAACCGAGGAGAACATTGAAAATGCCGAAGCCAACTTCAACGCTAATGCTTGTGATTATTGTGAGCTTTGAGATCCGCTAAAATTCAACCCTTTCCAGATTTTCCAGAATTTTTCCGATCCAATCCAGAAATTTCCATGCGTTTTCCAGACGTTTCCAGAAATTTCCAGACTTTATCCAGATTTTTCCAGATTTTTCCAGACTTAGCTAGACTTTATTCAGACTTGTCTAAATTTCTCCAGACCTTATCAAGCCTTTTCCAGACGTTTCCAGAAATTTCCAGACTTTCCCAGACTTTATCCAGACTTTTCTAGACTTAGCTGGATTTTTCCAGACTTTATCTAGACTTGTCTAGATTTCTCCAGACCTAATAGAGCCTTTTCCAGACTGTATCCAAACTTATCCAGATTTAGCTAGACTTTATCCAGACTTGTCTAGATTTCTCCAGACCTTATCCAGCCCTTTCCTGACCTCTCCGGACTTCTTCCAAACACTTTCCCGACTCCAAATACACTTTTCCAGACTTTATCCAGACTTGTCTGAATTTCTCCAGACCTTATCAAGCCTTTTCCAGACGTTACCAGAAATTTCCAGGCTTTTCCAGACTTTATCCAGACTTTTCTAGACTTAGCTAGATTTTTCCAGACTCTATCCAGACTTGTCTAGATTTCTCCAGACCTAATAGAGCCTTTTCCAGACGTTTCCAGAAATTTTCTGGCTCTTTTCCAGACTTTATCCAAACTTATCCAGACTTAGCTAGACTTTATCCAGACTTATCCAGACTTGTGAATTTTTCCAGACCTTATTAAGCCTTTTCCAGACGTTTCCAGAAATTTCCAGGCTTTTCCAGACTTTATCCAGACTTTTCTAGACTTGGCTAGATTTTTCCAGACTTTATCCAGACTTGTCTAGATTTCTCCAGACCTAAAAGAGCGTTTCCAGACGTTGCCAGAAATTTTCTGGCTCTTTTCCAGACTTTATCTAAACTTATCCAGACTTTTCCAGACTTAGCTAGACTTTATCCAGACTTATCCAGACTTTATCCAGACTTGTCTAGATTTCTACAGACCTTATCCAGCCCTTTGACCTCTCCGGACTTCTTCCAAACACTTTCCCGACTTCAAATACACTTTTCCAGACCTTATCCAGACTTGTCTGAATTTCTCCAGACCTTATCCAGCCTTTTCCCGACGTTTCCAGAAAGTTCCAGGCTTTTCCAGACTTTACCCAGACTTTTCCAGACTTGGGTAGATTTTTCCAGACTTTATCCAGACTTCTCTAGATTTCTCCAGATCTAATATAGCCTTTTCCAGACGTTTCCAGAAATTTTCTGGCTTTTCCAGACTTTATCCAAACTTTTCCAGACTTTGCTAGACTTTATCCAGCCTTATCCAGACTTTATCCAGACTTGTCTAGATTTCTCCAGACCTTATCCAGCCCTTTCCTGACCTCTCCGGACTTCTTCCAAACACTTAACCGACTTCAATTATGTATAAGTAATTGCCTATCTATGAGTCAGCACTTAATGTATGCAAAAGCGGTGACAACCTTGAACTAACATAAACATATCGATTTTATATTCAGATTGCCTTATTTGCATAATTAAAGCGGTGACAACCTTGAACTAACATCTCGATTTTATAGTCAGAAAATAATATTCTAAAAATAGATGCTATTGCTGGACTATTTATCCTGTAACAACCGGCAACAACAACCCTTTGAACCAATAAAATTACAGGTTTCTTCATTACCTTATAAGGCAGTGGAACTTTCTCGCTGCTATAATTGGTTAGCCGCCACATTGCTATCTAGTTTTTTGCGACCTGCTCGCTGGCAGAGCTAGTCGACGCACATTCTACAGTACTATTAGAACAAGCGAAGAGGTCGCACCCTCGCGCCTTCTGAATGCTCTCCAGGAGTCAAACCCCCAAAAACCCCCATTAGTACGCGCGATTTATAGTAAAATACTACTCTCTGGGTCTCAAGGCCTGACATGGTCTATATTATTGATTACAATTCATGTAATTAACCCCTAATTATTGCAGGTCACCTCGGACGAGCAAAATTCTCTCCTACGCGATTGTCTTTTGGCTCTCTCTCACTCTCGACGGGCTCCAATGCACCTGTATATCGTTGTGTTTTCTTTTTATTTCAGTGGAAAATTCCTTAGCTGCCAGTGTGAATAGTGGTGATAAATAGATAAATAATCGCCTTGTGGATTGCATGAACCGGATTGAGCAAGTAAGACTGTTACAATTTCTCTAAGAGTCGAACAATAAATACTGATTAGTGATTCGCTTGAAATGCACTATAAATTTAAGTGTTTTCTAACGTTTAATGCAGAAATTTGGTTTTCACACTCGTGAAATTAATATTTGTACATTTGTATATAGAAACTGAGCATATAAAAAGTCTTTTCTTGCACATATTGTTCACAGACTTCAGCAGAAACGTGCTCAAATTGTTAACTCTCTGTATCTCCGAAACAAATCATAGGATCTTCTTGGGCCTACGAGAACTTCAGGAGGTCGAGAAGCATAACATATTTCAATTTCATGACAATCGTGAAATTTCTTTTTCCTCATAAGATCCGTGAGTGGTCCTTTACACTAATAATAAGTGGCGCTATATACATTTCTAATAATTGACATGCAAGATGTTTACTTGCCAGGCATGTATACTCCTAAATCTTATAGTTACTGATAAATAATTTTGTAATTTGAAGGTGCTTCTTTTTAACAACAAACAAAGGTTAACATTTTTGTTTACATTTTTCCACATAAATACAAATTATCTCTTAACCTCTCATTTAAATGATAAATATTAAATGTTACGTATCTTACAGGCTGAAATAATACTTATGCATAATCATTAGCTACTGATTGATCAAGTAGGTACCTATAACGTCAGATAAGGGCATTGAAAACGTTCACTTGAATAAAAAGTTTAATTTGAATAGTAAAAAATATTTATCTGGAATGATTTAAGAGTGATTGAAATACAATTTTGGGTAAATATGGAGAAGGTTACCTATGCCGAATCCAAAGGTAAGTAGATATTTTAATTATTTGCAACACTGAATCAAATTATTTAAGGCCCCACTTTTGGTAAAAGACATGTACAAGCAATTCTACAGTTTTTCTCCATCGTTCTGGAAATGGCATCTCGCGCTTGCGTCTCCCTTTCCATCATTGCAATGACTGACAGCACAACATCATCTAACCCAAATATACCAGTAAGTATAACAAGAATTTAGTTTTAAAATTAAATAAACCCCATTATACCCAGACTTATGACTGGTCTAACACCAACGTGATCCTCTCATCATTTTACTGGGGCTACATAGCTTTACAACTACCAGCAGCTCAACTAGTCCATTCCTATGGAATAAAATGGTTTTTGTTTGCCGCAATGCTGGTCAACTCCTTATCAATGACTTTAATACCTACATTTGCAGCATTGCTGGGTTCAACAGGGGTAATGATTTGCAGGGCCGTTCAAGGTGTGTCTCAGGGATTTTTTTATCCGTCCATGCAAACCATGTTGGGAAGATGGGCACCTGAGGAAGAACGAAGTCGAATGTCCATGCTGGTTTATACTGGTACAGTTTACAAATTTGAGTTTTTGTAATGATGTTTTGAATTTTAGGAAGTGCCATTGGCACAATTTTGTGTGGTCCAATTAATGGTTACATTTGCGAATCTCACTATGGCTGGCCAGGAACTTTCTATCTCTTTGGGGGTTTGGGGTTTGTTTGGTGCATTTCCTGGTTCTTTTTTGGGTTCAGCACTCCTGCAAGCCATCCTACAATTAGTGCTGAAGAAAGGCTATACATTGAAAAGTCTTTGGGTCAGGATAAAGGTGTAGAGGTAAAAAATTTTGCTTTCAAATTTGGTTATATTAATTTTTTTTTTTTAGAATGTCCCTACTCCTTGGACATCGATACTAACATCAATGCCATTTTACTCAGTTGTACTTGCTACAGTTGGCATCACATTTGGAGCTGCCTTTTTATCCAGTGATATGCCAACGTATTTGAAAAATGTTGTTGGATATTCTACAAAAACTGTAAGCCTAAACAAAAATATGTATTCTTGTGAAAATTGTATTTGGTTTATTTTAGAACGGAATTTTGTCATCAGTACCAACAATCGCGGGTATCGCTTCTAATTTCATTTTCGCTTTGGTATCAGATTTCATTGTCACTAGAAACTACGTGAGCAAGTTGAATTCCAGAAAGATATTTCATGTTATAGGTGAAAACGTTTATTGAATTAACTCTTTGTTTATTAATCTGTTTTAGGTTCTTATGGTCCTAGCACTTGCATGCTCATTCTTGCATACCTGCCAAAATCTGATGTAAATCTGACAATGACCTATTTGATTATAAACGGAGCTTTAGCTTCCAGTCAACATTATGGAGTAGTTATAAACAACCTTGATATATCTCCAAGATTTGCAGGGGTTATTGGTGGGTTCTCTTCGACTATATCATCCAGTATGTCGCTGTGTGCTCCGTTATTGGTGCAATTTTTGGTAACAGATGAAGTAAGAAATTTCAAGTAGAAATCTTTTGGAAGTTTAATAATTTTTCTTTTAGACTAACGTTACACAATGGCGGACGATTTTTATTATTGCTGCCGGATGGTACTTTGTAGGTGCTACATTTTTTGTAATATTTGCATCTGCAGATGTGCAGCCTTGGGATTCTGGTAAAATAAAGAAAAATGCCGTTGAAAAAATAAAAAAAGAAAGCGTAACATCTTTTAAAAGCAATGTGTAATATATTGTTGATTTATTGTATTTGGGTAGTTGTGATTTTATGGTTGATATTTTATTCAGCATTGGTAAATACATAATCAGCTGCTCTTTGGATTTTTTCAAAGTAGCAGCTCTGATGACTGGGAAATTGAAAATATGCATCAAATAAAATGTCGAAGAACATTTTTCAAATACAAAAATTGATAAAAACATCTTGCATCAAAGTAATGGAATAATAATTGATAATATTACTGATATAATTAAGTGTTTGCTACTTTGCACATCTCTCAAGGAGATTCTTTCACTTGAAAATAGGTATGGATTTGGTCCATTTTTGGAATAAAACTGTGGCTACACCAGTTGTCCAAAACTATTGACATCCCTAGCCGTCTCCTCCCTCATCTTTGTGTATTTACCAAGGTTGTTTTAGAGTGATTTGATTGTTTTCTTTGGGCCCCTTGACAGAGTTTTTTGTAGTCTAACACAATCTTGAGTACTTTGTATATCCTCACAGTACTTCCTCCAAGACCTCCTCTTGGATCCCCTCAGCTGTTTCTTGAACTTTTTCTGTTCTAGTTTTTTTCCTTAACTTTGCAAGGCTCTAGTTCCACCAGGGCACTTTTCTGGTGGATGTCCCTGTTGTAAGTGGGCAATTTTCATTGAAGGCTGAGATGATTGCATCATTGAACTGATCCACAACCATCTCCAACTCTTCAGTGTCTTTTATTGTCTTCCTAATGTACGGCAGACTGTTCTCCAGGTCAGCTTTGTATGCGTCCCAGTCTACATTTCGATGATTTCGATAATTTACTGAAGTTGTTTTACCTGAAATTTCAAAATTGATGTATCTGTGATCCGAGCAACTTGCCTTATCAAATACATGCCAGTTTGTGACTTGATAACTCATGATTTGAGGCTATAGTGTCACATCGATTACCTCCTTCCTAGTTGAATTAACAAAGGTAGGTTTATTTCCTACATTTACTATATCTAAATTGTTTGCTATAATATACTGTAGTAGAGTGAAGACTCACCTCTATCGTTGATGTTAGTACTTTCCCAGACTGTGTGATGAGCATTCGTATCACACCCGATGAGTAGCTGTGTCCCATTCGTCGTATAGTGTCTCACCAGATCCCCTCACTTCTGGTTGGTGTTGATTCAGGGTCATGGTAGGGTAAGTAGGCCAATCCGATAATAAATAATATTCCTCGGCTCATTGCCCCGGATGAGTCTGTTTCTGGGTGAAGTCAAATCCCTACAACAAAAAAGAGTTAGGGGCAGTACATTGACGTTCTTTTCAATGTATATACAGGGTCGAGGAGTGACAGTCTTGGACGAGAAGGCCAGGAGCCATAGAGAAGGACGAGAAGGCCAGGAGCCATCGAGAAGGACGAGAAGGCCAAGATCCATCAAGAAGGACGAGAAGGCCAGGAGCCATAGAGAAGACCAGGAGCTGTCCTCCCTTCTCTATTGTCCGGCTTAGCAGGAGCCATTCTCCCATCATCTCAGGCCTGGATTTTGTATCCCAAGACAAGTCTTGATGACTTCTACTGAGGTCGCTTCTGGATTTGGCACGAAAACGAGGAACCTTGGTCTTGCTGGGAGATCCTCAGAGTTAACAGCCCTGAGTTCTGCACCCTCTGCACCCTCTCAGAGTTGGCCAAGGGGTTCGATGCTTTTCTTGAGCTCCTTCTCTCGCCCCCAGGTCTCACAGCTCCTCGGGGCTTCAAATTTTTGTTTTGTCATGGTATAATACCTAAAAATCCTAAATTATTAATTATAGAGGGATTATTATTCAGTTAACTATCAATAAAGTTGTTGTGAATTTGACTCTACTTACTTTATTTCACTGGATACCTCCCTATTTGAAATAGTTATCTTTAATGTTTCATGGCTTTATTGATATTCAACCCATTGCATATAAAACTATATTCCGGGAAATGTGACATACATGCCAAAAATTTAACTCTGCAAGTACAACCTATGGTATTCAGCATGAGCCTATAACTTTGAAGCCATAAAATTCAATTTATTTTTATTGTGCGGTCGACTGGCTGCTTCAGTATGCCACGAAGCGATAGTCTTTACGTCTACTACAAGGGACAATTCTTGAAACCGAAGAACAGCGTTCTCATGAGAACGATTGCTCTGTCATTGTCAGTATTATGGAAATATGAATACGGACGACGAAGACAGAACCATAGCTCTCATGAGAATGCTGCTCCCTTGTTTCGAGAATAAAGTCCCAGATCGGTATTGTAGTATAACATACCCGGGTTCGTTCAGTAAGATTGAACGGTGAGAATTTTTATTATCTTTAAACAACAAATTTTCTGAAAAATAAAATGAGAAACAAATAGGACCTACGTTGTGGAAACTTACTCAATTTTACTTACTGGACATGCGCCCGACATAGCAAATATTTGGGAAATTCAAGAAAAGTTGTGATATGTAAAAGAAACAAAAAATTTGTGAAACGTCTACTTTATTAAAGTAAATCGTCAATCGTCAATCGTCAATAATTCGATAAAAGTTGAAACTAGGTACCGCCCCTGTTCTTGTGCTAAAATTTTAATTACACACACTACATCAATCAATCAATCAACACTGCCTATATTTAATACTGAAGAGTTTTTGGTTAGTTAGCCAGTTTCCTAGCAGGTAATGAGGTCCCATACGGGAAGCTACTCAGCTATAGTCGTTTTTGAGGCAATATCTCTAGATTGATTTTTTCAATTTGCTAGGATATTCTCTCGTCAGGGTAGGAAAATGTTAGTAAATTCAACAAGGCCCGAATGCACGCTCTAAATTCAAAAATCAAAATCCCAGCACAAAAAGACATAAAAATGGGAACATGATGATACTTGTATAAATAATTGAACTCTCAAAAACAAAATAACAATTATTCAACTGACCTGGTGATCGTTCCTTGGCATACACACTAATATTAAATTGGATTGAACAATCAATGTTATGCAAAATAAAAATGATAATTGAATAATGAATAACTACAGACACGCGCCTAAAGGGACCAGTCCAGCTTGTTCTCTAGTCTAGTTGCGTATTCTCTATCTCCCGTTCGTACGCTTTTTCTGTGGTGCCTCTAGGTTCGCCCCTACTTAACGGCGCATTACATGGTTGCAACATTTACTTTTATCCAGTAAACGTTTTTTAAAAAAAGTTAAGATTCAAAGAAATAATATTTTAAATAGGTGGTTTTCCTCAGTATAGGTGTAGAAATAATGTAAACATCCCCTTAAATAGGTATCAAACCGCCGCTTAAGAAGTTTCACTTCAAAAAAAAATCAAAAAATGTTTTGGAATAGTTTCCAAAATAAACTTGTGCCTTACAATTATTGAATTAACATGGGTGATTATTTTGATGACCATATGACGCATTGAGAATATTTATATGGAATTTTAGTGGTCATTATTATACCAAGAATGGCTGTAGCTGTAAGTAGGGAAAAATAATGGTTATACAATTATAATTATGCACCAGTCTGTTCTGGTACTTTGTGTATTATCTCAACATTTTTTTATTTAATCAATAATCATTATTCAGGCAAGTGCAGCGCCAATACTATTGAGCAAACTTAAATGATTATCTAATCTTAAGTCTTGCACTTTGGCGAAATATGAGTTATTCAAATTTTCCATCAGCAGTCACACATAGATTAGAATAATTTTGGCGAACAACAACCAATTTTGAGAAGCCATCATGGGACAAGAACAAAAAATGGAATGTAGTAAAGAAAATACAGGTAGTAATTTAATTTTCTTTATAATTAGGCAAAGTGTATGAAATCTTAATACTTAGCTACGAGTACACAAACAAAATACTTACTTTCTTTTTTAAGGTCCAAGATTTGGAAAAAGACACATCCAAGCAATCTTGCTCTTTACAGCAATTGCAGCCGAAATAATGACACGAACGAGCCTATCACTTTCAATAGTTGCAATGACCGACAATTCAACATCATCAAATCCAAATATACCTGTTAGTTTACAATAATATAAACCAATAATCCAAGAAATCTAATTAAAACTTTTAGACTTACCACTGGTCAGATACAAACATAATCCTCTCGTCTTTCTTCTGGGGATATTTTGTTCTACAAGTCCTGGCAGGCGAGATCGCTAAAAACTACGGAGCAAAATGGTTCCTGTTCGGAGCAATGTTCTGCAACGGTTTTACTACAATGCTTATTCCATTAGCAGCAGAACTATTCGGTTCCAAAGGGGTTATGGCATGTAGGATCCTGCAAGGGCTCTGTCAAGGTGGTGTTTATCCTTGTTGTCATACCATGTTGGGTAGATGGGCTGCGACAAACGAAAGAGGCAAAATGTCTACTTTTGTTTATTCTGGTAAGAATTTTTTTATCAATTTTACTCTTTTCCGGCCAACCAGATTTGGTTGATGAAAGTTTTGGATCATCAATTACTTTTGAATCAGTACAGTAGAGTACGTGAGCCTCAAATTCCTGTTTCTTCTGCAATTTATTGAGGCTCTCTGGTTGAAATCACAGCTCGATTTGATTATTGAACTGGCACCTCAATTAGCTTCTCCTCCTGTTGCTCCAACATGTGATGATCCAAAAACAAGTCTCCCATCTATCAATAAACAATTTTCAGGTATAAGCGCTGGTTCGATAATCTGTCTACCAATCACAGGCCTTATATCAGAATCCGACTGGGGTTGGCCAGCGACATTTTACGTCTTTGGCAGTTGCGGTGTGATTTGGTCAATAGTTTGGTTCTTTTTCGGCCAGAACAGTCCCGCTACTCATCCGGCCATTACTCCAGAAGAAAGACGCTACATTGAAGTGTCACTGAATCAAGACAAAGACACAAAAAATGTGCCAACTCCGTGGAAGGAAATGTTTAGTTCGATACATTTTTGGGCGATGGCGATTCCGACTATTTGTACTGGTTATGGGATAATTTTTTTGCAAACGGAAATTCCTACTTACTTGAAACAAGTTTTGAATCAAAGCAATACTTCGGTCAGTATTCTATTAAATATTAAATATTTGGCAATAAAGATGCAATTTTAGAGTGGATTTTTGACCGCAATGACGTATGCTGTGGGAGTATTAGTTACTTGGATCTATGGTCCTCTGTCAGACTTTCTGATCGAAAGGCAAATTCTTTCCAGGACCAACACAAGAAAATGTTTTGAAGCATTTTGTATGTATACTTTAACCTAATACACAATATTACTAATCGAGTTTTTAGCATGTTATGGAAGTGCCGCTTCAATGCTGATACTAATTTCCCTTGGCCAAGAGCAAACTGGCTTAGCAACTTTCATGATTACCATGAGCGCAGTTTTTGGCGCAGCAATTTTTTTCGGACACGGAGTGAATGCTATTGATATGTCTCCAAGATTTTCTGGAATTATTCTTGGGTTCGCAAATTCTGTATCTTGTCTTGCTGCTATGGCTGGGCCGTTGTCTGTACAATTTTTTGTAAAAGACGAGGTAAAAAACTAACATTTAATTTGATTAAATTACTAATTATTTATTTTCTAGACAAATGCTAAACAATGGCGATTAGTTTTCATAATAGCGTCATTCTTTTATGTGATTCCAGCGACATTTTTCCTTATATTTGCTTCAGGAGAAAGGCAATGGTGGGATGATGGAGCGGAGAAAACCGATTTGTCCGAAAAAGAAATGGAAGATCGAAAACTTGCGAAAGTATAACGCAAAAGAAAGTCTCAGGAACTAAGTATATTACTCAATTCAATTGTGATAAATATTTATTGTAATAATTAATAATGTATTTTTTTAACAAATATAAGTAGGTACATAGGTAATGATATTGTTTTGTTATAATTTTTCAAACCTGATAAGGGCCACTTACGATTAACTAAAAACGTACGAATTCAAAAAAAAATATATCAGACACTTGAGAATAATGATGTTAACGACATTTTTGGCAGAAAATCTCTTTACATTTCAATGAGAATGTTCTCCCTTAACCCTTAACCTTCATGATTTATCATGACTTTTGGATTAAGTAACTGCCTTTGGTACCAGAGGAACTATCATTTCTCATTCATGCAATAATCTAACAAAAATTAATGATCAAATTGACCTCAAAAATCAGAGGAAAATATTTCAATAACAATTGATTTTACAACAAGGTAAAAAGATAGCGAAAGTTCTTGATAAAAGTACTCCAGTATACGCAAATTGAAGCTAGCGAATCTTTATTTTTTTCAATAATCAGTTGAGAATGAACCTATGATGAAAAAAAACTAATATAGAATTATTTTTTTTGTGTGTGTAAAAAATGGGTGTTACTGATGATATGATAGGCGAAGAAATTGTTATTCTTAACAAAGGTAGGCGATTTTCATATCCTGTGATGACTAAGTTTGCTCATTGTTACAAAACTATTTAAACGATTTGTTTTTCTTTGATAAGCAGTTGTGTAGATATTTTTGGTTCAATGCCAACAGACCAATGAATACATAATAATTGAAATATCTCTCTGTTTAGGTCCTCGTATTGGAATGCGCCATGTACAAACCTTACTTATGTTCCTATGTTTAACCATTGCTTATTCCATGAGAGTTAACTTATCAGTCGGAATAGTGGCAATGACAACAAAAGATACGAGTCCAAATCCAGATATACCGGTAAATACTTTATATGGTTACATTTATGTTTTTATTGTAAGTAAATGATGAGAATCTGAGAACTTATCATAATTACATATACAAATTCAATCGGAGCTGCTTCTACAGAAGGGTTAAAGCCCCGTTATCTAAGAATCTGGAAACTTATGATAGTTATATACAAACTCAAATTTGTATTTTGAGATGCTCTTCAATTTAAAATATACGTCAACTCGCTATCTGATTCCTTTCAAGAACTGTAACTTTCCAAATAAGTGGAAAATATCAAAATTCGGAGCTGCTTCTACTGAAGGTGTATAGCCACGTTATCTAAGACTCTGGAAACTTATTGTAATTACATACCAAATGAAATTTGCAAACTTTGAGATGCTCTTCAATTTAAAATATACGTCAACTCGCTATCTGATTCCTTTCAAGAACTGTGACTTTCCAAATAAGTGGAAAATATTAAAATTCGGAGCTGCTTCTACAGAAGGTGTATAGCCACTTTATCTCAGACGCTGGAAACTTATTGTAATTACATACCAAATCAAATTTGCAGATTTTGAGAGGCTCTTTAATTTGAAATATACGTCAACTTGCTATCTGATTCCTTTCAAGAACTGTGACTTTCCAAATAAGTGGAAAATATTAAAATTCGGAGCTGCTTCTACAGAAGGTGTATAGCCACGTTATCTCAGACTCTGGAAACTTATTGTAATTACATACCAAATCAAATTTGCAGATTTTGAGAGGCTCTTCAATTTAAAATATACGTCAACTCGCTATCTGATTCCTTTCAAGAATTATGACTTCCCAAATAAGTGGAAAATATTAAAATTCGGAGCTGCTTCTACAGTAGGTGTATAGCCACGTTATCTCAGACTCTGGAAACTTATTGTTATTACATACCAAATCAAATTTGCAGATTTTGAGAGGCTCTTCAATTTAAAATATACGTCAACTCGCTATCTGATTCCTTTCAAGAACTGTGACTTCCCAAATAAGTGGAAAATATTAAAATTCGGAGCTGCTTCTACAGTAGGTGTATAGCCACGTTATCTCAGACTCTGGAAACTTATTGTTATTACATACCAAATCAAATTTGCAGATTTTGAGAGGCTCTTCAATTTAAAATATACGTCAACTCGCTATCTGATTCCTTTCAAGAACTGTGACTTCCCAAATAAGTGGAAAATATTAAAATTCGGATCTGCTTCTACAGAAGGTGTATAGCCACGTTATCTCAGACTCTGGAAACTTATTGTAATTACATATCTACCAAATCAAATTTGCAGATTTTGAGATGCCCTTCAATTTAAAATATACGTCAACTCGCTATCTGATTCCTTTCAAGAACTATGACGTTCCAAATAAGTGGAAAATATTAAAATTTGGAGCTGCTTCTACAGAAGGTGTATAGCCACGTTATCTCAGACTCTGCAAACTTATTGTAATTACATACCAAATGAAATTTGCAGATTTTGAGAGGCTCTTCAATTTAAAATATACGTCAACTGGCTATCTGATTCCTTTCAAGAACTATGACGTTCCAAATAAGTGGAAAATATTAAAATTTGTAGCTACTTCTACAGAAGGTGTATAGCCACGTTATCTCAGACTCTGGAAATTTATTGTAATTACATGCCAAATCAAATTTCAAGAACTGTGACTTTTCAAATAGGGGGAAAATATTAAAATTCGAAGTTGCTTCTACAGAGGTTTAAAGCCTTATTATCTCAGAATTTGGAAACTTATAATAATTACATACAAAATCAGTAGATTTGGAGAAGCTCTTCAATTTAAATTATTCCTCAAGGATTGATCCCTGCCCAATCGATCAAAGTTTAAACGCATTTACTCTTGTAAAAGGATGTTAAAGATAAAATCTTCGTACCTACATCAGTTCATATTCACGCTTACATATTAGTTATGAATGGGGTAAATAAATCAAATAGATTAGAAAAAAATAATAACATGGTCAAGTTGCCATTGTTTTAAAATTATCTTGAGTGTTTGAATCTTTAAAATCTTTTAGTGTCATCGTACTTCAGCAAGTAATTGATGACTTAACTTACAAGGTTGAAATAGCAAACTGAAACTTCAATCTTTCACTCTGAATGTTCTTTTTGGTTTGCTTTATTATAGTTCCACCCAAAGACATATTAACACAGATAGACATTACAGTAAACGAAATTTTGTGTTGCTAACATCTAGGAGAGCGATCCACCTCCGGGGTATCCCCTCCAATTAGCCAAACTGCTACGAATGGATATTTTATCATGTTATGATTTTTCTACAAGAAATTGAAGCTTCCTAAAACTACTAGCAACGCCGGTTTTGTGTGTCTCGTTTACACCTCTGATGCATCCCCACCATAACCCCCCTCGAGCAGCTCACCTCTCCTAGCCTATGGGAGTCTTGTCATCACAACAAACATCAGTTTATGAATGAGATGCGGTGTCTATCTGTGTTAAAATGTCATTTATTTCACCTTTAAATAAGATAAATCCAAATTTGCGAAAAAAACCATTCTGCCCCAAATGTTTGTCTTTCCTGCTCATCACCATCAAAAGCTTCAAACTCCCTTCAAAAAATAAATTGTTTTGTCAAGGTTTACGACTGGAACAATAAAAGTTTGATTCTATCATCTTTCTTCATGGGCTACATCACCCTTCAAGTATTAGCTGGAGAACTAGGCAAACGATATGGACCGAAATGGTTCGTACTTATTGCTATGGTAATAAATGCAGGTGCGTAGGTATAATTATAATCATTATAAACCTATAATTATTGGAATTTTTAGGAGGTTGCATGTTAACGCCACTTATGGCTGCAAGTGCTGGCTCCTATGGAGTCATGGGTATCAGAATAATCCAAGGAGTATTCCAAGGTTTCTTTTTCCCCAACATTCACAATCTGTTAGGTAAATGGGCACCCGAAGAAGAAAGATCCACTTTGGGGAATTTTATTTTCACAGGCAAACTTTACTCGAGAATTCAAATGAACATACAATAAAGAATTGTCTTCTATAGGTGCAGCATTTGGTACAATCTTCGCTCTACCAGTCACAGGTGTGATAGCAGGTTCCTGGGCGGGATGGCCAGTGGCTTTCTATTTCTTTGGCGGTGTTGCCCTGTTATGGTGCCTCGCTTGGGGTATATTTGGTTCCAACAGTCCCGAGGAACACAAATATATTACCAAAGAAGAACGAATGTATATTCAATCTTCTTTAAAAGAAGTTGACGTCAATAAACCAGTGAGTAGATTTTTTTCTATAAAATGATTTATTTTTGAAATATTTTTTCTTGTAGGCTCCTCCAACACCATGGAAAGCCATACTAACCTCAGCACCAGTATGGGCAATAGTTGTTGCTAACTTCGGACAAAATTGGGGCTATGCTACATTGCTGACGGAAATTCCGAATTATCTAAGCAAAGTGGCACATCAAGATATTTCAAATGTAAATGTACTTCTAAATCAATTTATATGTACTACAAATATTTATTTCATAGAATTCTCTTCTATCTGCCGCCCCCTACTTAGCATTATTCATTCTTGGCTTACTCTTCGGTCCTTTGGCTGATGGGCTCGTTACAAGGAAAATTTTGAGCCCTGCTAACACCAGAAAATTAATGAACACCATTGGTAAACCCACTTTTTATATTTGCAAATAAGCAATTTTTATTTTTCTAGGTTCTGTGGTACCAGCTATCGCCCTAGTTATCCTCGGCTTCGTGCCTGCAGACAAAATAGCTGCAATCGAAACAATGCTGATAATCGCTGTAGGAATCAACGCAGCAATTTGGTGCGGGTTCCAAGTGAACCACGTTGACTTGTCGCCGAAATTCTCGGGAGTTCTCATGGGAATCGGAAACGGATCTTCGAATATTTTTTCCATTATTTCTCCTTTGTTTGTGCAAATATTGGTTACCGATGAGACGGATGTGAAACAATGGAGGACGATTTTTATTATCGCTGCGGCAGTTTACGTGGCTTCGGATATATTTTATTTGATTTTCGCCCAGGCCGAACGTCAGTGGTGGGACAGTTGTGGTACAGAAACTCAGGATGGTGATAGTAACAGTACGGTGCCTGTTGATGAAACTCTCAAGACAAAGAATGTGTGAGAAATGCATTCTAAATCGGACTATTATAAATTAACTCTCCAATTGATTTTGTGTTTTACTGTTCTAATCATTGGCATAACTACCGAGGGGGCAGAGGGGGCCGTGATCGCATGCAAAAGTAATTTTACTGTCAAAAAACAATATTCGTACGATTTTTAGAATAATATCTTATGAAACCTAATCGTAATCAAGAAAATACGAAAATCAATAAAAATTTTGCTGATTGATTGATTGATTTGATCAATGGCAGCAAGGCAAGGTTTAGTGATTCCCTTATAATGCAGCTAGTTAGTTTATTGCATCCCTTGCTGTGAGAATTTCTGCTAAAATAGGTTTGACATCTTCGCCAAGTGCGGTACCTCTGCATTGGCGACTTCAGGGGATCCTCCTCATGAACAGATTCTTCCTCCAAGAGGTGTCGGGTTTTTTAGTAAGCGAGTGCACATCAAATAAGATGTGTGTGGCTGATTCTTTGTTCTCGTGGCATAATCTACAGATGGATTCATCTTGGTAGATTCGCATCTTGTGTAGGTGTTTTCTCAGTGTACAGTGACCGGTTAACAGTTCCGTCACAATTCTGATCCTGCTTCTTCGTGAGCTTTAGGATCACAGAGGTTAATCTTGTTGTAGGATAGTTTACCATTGTCTTACTGTGGTGTTCCATCGGTATTTTATACCAGTGGGTTTTGTGTTCCTCTCGGATCCACTTGTCCAAGCAGCCACGTATCAAGTTTTTTGATATTCCGAATACGGGTTCAGGACCCACAAACTGCCTTTCTGATCCTTGCCTGGCTAAGGAGTCCGAGTTTTCATTTCCAGCAACGCCCATGTGCCCCGGCACCCGCGCAAGAGTTGCCTTGTTATGGCTCGCTAGGGTTAAAAGGAGTTGTAGGCAGTTCCACACTAATTTAGAGTTTATGTGTTGGCATGCTAGAGCTTTAATAGCTGCTTAGCTGTTTGAGAAGATCGTGATATCTTTATGCACATATTCCTCTCTCAGATTTTCCCGCAGGCATGTCTCTATGAATATATTTCGGCTTGGAATACGGTGGATCTTAGGGATAGACCATATACTCCAGCACCGGTTTTGGAGTCATCAGTGTACCATACTAACTTTCCATTCTGGACTAGTGAGTTTTCTGTTTTGTTTTCCCAGTTAATCTGGGTTTAAAACGGTTTGTGAGTATTTATTCTCGGGGTCATCTCAATAGTGAGTTTGTAACAATTTTAGATAATATCCTGGTATGTACCAGGTGTCCAAACAAGAAAGGTCGCCGGCTATATCTCAGGAAATAGTCCTTGAGCTTCCAAGTAAATTTTTTTTAAAATAGGCCATGAGAAATTGCTGGAAATAGTTTTCAAGTTTGTAAGTTGACCGCTAGTGATTATCTTCAAAAAACACCTACTAAAGGTATACAAAAAATATGATTTTTGAAATCTTGATGAGATTACGAAAAAAAATTGTTAAGAATTTTTTGCCCTAACTCTTCAAATAAGAGGTGGGGGAGGGATCAAATTTGTTAGGAACAAAACTTATATAACTTTTTTGTTTCTCAACCGATTTGAATGAATCAGGTGTCATTTGAAAGAGTTTTTTTCTGTTGAATAAAATGCATAATAAAAATAACAAAATTGAATTGCTATGTTGCCGCTAGGGGGCGCTGTGTCCAAAAGTTGGCAATTTTCCATTTATTCTCGGAAATTTCACATATAATGATGCTTTTTTTATAATTTAGATGGAAAGAGGATGAAAAAATAAGGAATCTGGTGAAAACCGCAAGTCTGAATCTTTATCCTAGCCCAAAATATAAATAAACAAATATTTTAAGTAAGAAAAATTTCAGAAAAAAACCTTCTTGCCTTCCTTTTCGGGATAAAACAGAAAAAATCTTATTTTTTTTACGGCACTATAGAATTAATGAGAAGAAGAACTAGTTGTGTGTCTGAAAGTAGCTACCAATCCACGATATCAAGAATTGAAATTGAATTGAACTATAGTTGTTTACATTCCAAGCTGCGAAAGCGCACTTTTAGGTGCGAGGTATATTCAATATCTCCGAACACCTAAATAGTTATTTACATTCCAAGCTGCGAAAGCGTACTTTTAGGTGTGTGTATTCAAATAGCCATGGCTGCGCTTCGCTTCGCCTCGGCTATATGAATACCTCCGAGCACTTAACAGGACTTGTGCAGCATGTGATGTATTAAACTTTTCATCCTGTCCCCTCAAAAATCGTGAATAGGCATGCGAAAGTGAAGGAACCTACAAGCATATTTCGCTTTCGCTCAACTATGCAAGATAAAAAAATCTACTTTTGTAGGGGCGAGAATGAAAAGGGCTTTTGCAGTGTGTAACGGAAAAAACTTTTCATTGCTCCCCTCAGGAATAGTATATTACATGCGGAGGTGGAAAGTGTTTCATTATTATCGAGAGATACTATGGTTGACGGAGGTGCGAAGCGCCGAGGTTAACCAATTCTCGAGACAATAATGTGAAAACTTTCCACCGAAATATATATACTATTTTATTTTGAACCATTAATTATTGAAAAAAAAATAAGGTAAAAATATCACAAAAATGGAATTTCGATTGACAGTCTGACACCGACATTGACATTTTATGAAATTTCAATAATATAAACACATGTGACATCTACTTCTAAATACAAACCACAGCATATTTGTGTCTAGGTATGAAAGAACAATTTATCAGGGTCGAAAGTGAGTTCTCCAGGCCGAAAGTGACAGAAGAACAGTCACTTTCAACCTACGTTAAAGTAAACAAAAGTAGAGTAACATTTTCGAACCTTCAAACCAGTGAGGAATCTGAAAATAACATATTGGCGATTTCAAGATCGGTTGTTCACATACCGTATTGGAATATTTTATTTCTTTTTCGATGTTTTCTGTTCGTTTCTAATTTAAATTACGTGTTTTGTGTTGAAAAGTGGAAAATATTAAAGGGAAAGCTTTTATTGTCATTCTGTGGGGTGCTATTATAACAGAAATTCTATAACATCTGCCTCCAAGTTCAAGCGGTCCAAACATAACACAAACTGCTGTGTATACGAATGCCATTCCCGAAAAAATGCAGACAGAACTATTTATTTTCATTATTTTCCTAAGAAAAATAGTGATCGTGCTTCCTACGCCAGCCTGCAGATGGGATAAAACTGTGGCCAAACTCAAAAGCAGGCCTCCATTTTCCATATTTCGTATTGTATGGATACGAAATGCACAAAAGAAAGTCACAAGGTTCAAAATTTATAAAATATAGTAAAAAACCACCGAAAAAACTATGAGAACAACGAGAAAATTAGCGAAAGAAATACGAATGCATATAAATACAATGCTGAATGTCAAAATATTACTCGTTCTCCGCCATATTTGTTTACAAACGCCAGCGCCCCCATCGGTAGTCGAAATCGCCAATATGGTTTAAAATAATAGTTTATTACATATCGAGGTGGAATAGCTATTTTCCCAACGAGTGCGGGAAGAGAAATTTCCGGCACGAGGGTGCGAAGCGCCCGAGTGCCGGAAATTTCTTCCCGCAAGAGTTAGGAACTATATTTTTTCTACGAGCATACTAAACCTGATGTTACGAGAAGTTTAATTTGAATAAAATGCGATTGTGCAGAAGATAGAATTAATTTATAAAAGCAGGTAAAGGTATCAAAGGTGAAGGTATAGGTGTATCAACAATACAAACAATTCCATGTCACAATGATTATTTGAAAGTCTTCCCGCACAGCAAATCGTGCGGGAAGAGCCATTTCCCGCACGCTTGTAGAAATAGTTATTTTCCTAACAAGTGCGCAAAGTGTTACTTTTCCGCACGCAAACACAGTTATACGAACGACGCGAAGCGGAGTTCGGATCCGTGTTTGCGTGCGGAAAAGACACTTTGCGCACGTGTTAGGAACAACATTTTTCCTACGAGCTTCATATCAGGTAGGTAACAGGAAAAATTAAAAAAAAAAAACGATAATTTGTTCAATTATTTTTAATTAACTTGAAGCGAACATTTATCAAAAAATTACCTGACAAAAAAACAAATAACAGAAAATCCTCGTCAGAGCTGTTCATCTTAAAACGTTCAAATTTGATGATAAAGTTTGTAGATTCTTGCATATAAATAGAGAACAAATCTGAAAATGTGTCAAGGTTAATTTATATGGTGTTTGTATTGATGTTGGCTGATATAGAAACAGAGGAAAAATTTGTCATCGTGTGTCAAAGTCGACAGGTGCACTTATTGTTGCTTGACAATTATAATTACTTTTCGGCACTCAGTGCGGATAAGGCCTGTATCCGCACTGAGTGCGGAAAAGTGTAACTTTGAGCCCGGAAATGCGTGCGGAAAAGTACTACTTTGCGCACGCTTGTAGGAAAAAGTGTTTTTTATTATACTTACCTGAAAACACCTCTTTTTCACCTGTCTTTACAATAAAGTAAAGGTGACATTTCCAGAAGAGCGCACGGAAACTTTTTCCCGATCTCTGTTTCCGTGCGCTAAACAGATTCGACGTCAGTCAATATTGCATCCTTGTCATTCATCAGAAATTAAACAAACATATTTTAGTATAAATGCACCCCGAAAAATTAAAAACGATTTAAGTTTCTGTAACAACCATCATCAGATATGTAAAATCGTGAGCATTGAAAGTGAGACACCCGATTTTGCCTTTTGTAAAACGAACTCACCAGCTATACTTACGGCAATGACAAGGATTGTCATATATGACAAAAAATCCTTTGTAGAGAAAAAACTGATTTACCCAAAATAGCGAAAAATGACAAGACGTGTGTGTCAGGTGTCCCACTTTCAATGCTCACGACTGTACCTATTTTTGATATTTTCTGTTAAATTCACGCCATTTTCAAAAATGAGAATTTTCTGTTTTTATCGTTTTCAGATAAGTATAATAAAAAATATCGTTCATTGCACGTCCAGAAATGGATTTTTCCGTTCTTGCATGACTTCCCGTGCTCGGCTGCGCCTCACACGGGATTTGTCACGTGCGCACAGAAAAATCTTTTTTTCTGGACTGGTAATAAAATATACTTTTATAACTGTCGAGAGATTTTACAACGGTTAGACCGAGGCTCAACCGAGGTTCAACTAAAATCTCGAGGCAGTAATGAAACTTTTCACTGAGGTATGTATACTATTTTATTTACAATCATTCGAATTTTGTAATTTTTATTTCAATGAAAACTAAAAAAATACAATAAATTTCAACAATTTCACTTACTTTCGGCCCACGGGAGGAAAGTAAACTTTCAATCCGTGGGTGAAAAGTAAAAGTCAAAAAATTGATATTTTCAAACTTTTTAAAACTCAGAGAAGTCAACATTACATGTATGATTGTAAATAACATGTTTTTCTGTCTTGAATGGGCAATCGAAAGTGAAAGTAATGACTAGCATGTTTGAATTTCGCTTTCGCTTGTATGTTCAAGATAAAAAAAATGTTTTCCTGAGGGGAACAATGAAAAGTTGGAGGTATCTGAATAGCCGGGGCGAAGCGAAGCGCA